GAGGAGGAGGAGGTGATGGGGGATCGGAGGAGGGGCATGAGGAGGAGGAGGGGGCAGAAGAGGAGGAGGAGGAGGAGGATGGAGGATCGGAGGGGGATCGGAAGAGGAGGGGGATCATCTTCCTCTGGTCCCTCCGGGCGTCCTCCTCCGATCATCCTTTTCCTCTCCTCCGATCAAGTGCTAAAGCGCAGTGCCAACGGGCACTGCGCATTAGCACTTGATCGGCGGTGTGGCGCGCCATAGGTGCCACAGAATGGTCGTCGTCATCCCTGCCGCGTCCGTTGTCATTATCCTGCGGGCTGCACCCAGAGTCCCGACGCCCGCCTGCCAGCACGACGTTTCCCCGAACAGTGCGCGCGCCAGGAGTTCCGTTGAAACGCAGCGCCACAAAGTGGCCCCGCCTTTGGCGCAACCTGTGGCGCAACCGTCGACGCAACCTATGGCACGCCCTGAGGGCGCAACCTAAGGCGCAACGTGAGGCGCGATTTGTGGGGCGCCCTGGGTGCGCAACCTATGGCGCAAGCTATGGCGCGCCTTGATGGCGCAGCTTACGGCTCAACCTATGGCGCAGGTAATTGTACGCAAGCACAGCGTGTGGTGTAACGCACCGGGCGAGCCATGGCGCAACCAGCCGGTGCACTCTCACAATATCATTATGACTACTACCACAGTCCTCCCTCCATTCTCCCTGTGTTGGTGCAAGGGGCTGGACTGGGCGAGACCTGCGCGAAGATGTGGCCGCGTGTCCTTCCAGCGCTCGGCCCTCCTACAGCGCGGCTGGTCACGCCAGCCCCCCGCATGTGTATCCAGCAAGTGGGCCCCAAGCGCTGCTGAAGCTTTCGGCAACTGGCTGCGGACACGGCGGCGGCGGCGGCGACGGCGACGGCGGCATCGGCGGCGACGACGACGGCGGTGACGGCGGCGGCGGTCACCTTCACCGCCGCCGCCGCCGCTCGCCGCCGTCGGCGTCGTCGCCGTCGCCGCCGCCGTCGTCGTCGTCGTCGTGGTCGCCGTCGCCGCCGCCCGTGTCGCCGCCGCCGCCGCCGTGGCCCCCCCGGTTGCCGTCGCAACTGACGGCGACGACGACGGCGCACCCGCGTGCGCGCTCCAGCCGTCGACCCATATCTCAAGGGCCTTGTGCCTGTGCAGGGAGCTCCTGCTTCCTGTATTCCCTAGGCTGCCGACGCCCCGCGCGCCCCCACGGTGCGTGGTTTACATTCTGCACAAAAAAAAGCCGTACACAAGCTTTGTGGTGCAGACATGCCATGTGGTATACACAGGCGCCACGGTTCACACTCCCATGATGTACACAGTCGCAATGGAGTACACAGGCGCTGCGGGCTCAACAGGTCCGAGCGCTTTTTGAACCTGAAAAACTAGATCCACAAGCAGCTCGCATAATGAAAGGGCCACGGTTGGGCCCCGAACGATCTTCTGGACTTTCGCTCCGCCGGTACCTTACAGGTGTACACAAACTTTGTGGTGTACGCTGGCATTCTGGTGCAAACACGGGGCGTTGAAACAGCAGCTGTGGTGCAAGCGGGCGCCGTGGTGTGCACCAACAGTTAAATGTACAAGGGCGCTGTGGTGCACCCGCCTGTCATGATGTGCTCAGTCGCCGTGGCGCACACACATACAATTTCTGCCGCAGTTATGGTGTACAAAGGCATCGCGGTGTGCAGAGCCTGTGTAGTGTGCACAGGCACGGTCGGCTTCGACGACGACGACAGCGGCGACGACGACGACGACGAAGCCTACCGTGCCGACAGTTGTGCTGGTAATAAGTACCAGGGCCCGTGCGAGGGCCCCGCCGCGCGTTACCGTTACCCCCAACTTGGGGCCGGGCCCCCCCCCGTAACGGGCGCTACCCCCCCCTCAATATAAAAAAACAAGCTCTAATGGGGAGCAGTGACATACCCCTCCCCGAAGCGGAAGAGGGGGGTTGGAGGAGGAACCGCTCTAAACCAGTCACACCCAGAGGGCTGGTGGGAATCAGCACACACCCCCAGAAGGCCAACATGTGACCAAAACCTGATTTCGGCATTCTCGCCGAGGCCTCTTGGGGCGTATTGGGTGCCTCTAAGGGTCTCTTGGTGCCTCTTTGGGGTCTCTTTGGGGTCTCTTTGGGGCATCTTGGGGGCATCTTGGGGGCCTCTCGTGGGACTCTTGGAGCCTCCTGGTCATCTCTTGGGGACGTCTTGGGGCACCCTGAGGGGCCTCGGGGGCCATCTCGCCGAAGCCGTTTTGGACGCTCTGACACCTCGCGACCCCCCCCGTCAAGGTCCAGGGGGAGGGTTTCTGGGAGAGGGGTCAAGACACCGTCCCCGCCCGCCAGCTCTTTCGCCCACTCCCAACCCACCCTCCCAACACATGAGTAGCACCTGGGCCTCAGCATGCGCAGCGGTCGTCTATGGATGGGCAGCTACTGGGAGCCAGTACATACCCCATATGCGCGATGGGGCGAGGTGCGCCACGCGTACCAGGCGCTCCAGGCGCGCCTGGCGCCCCTGGGGCTTAAGCGTGCCAGACACGCCTCGCGCGCCAGATGCGCCACATGCTCCACGTGCGCCATGTGTGCCGCATGGCCCAGTCGCGCCAGGTGCGCCACATCCGGGGCACTCGCAAAGTGTGCGTGCGTGCGCCCGCGCACGTGACAGCACACAGCAGGAAACATGTCGGCCCCCAGCATACTTGTCGAATGCCAGTGCGCAGTCGCGGCGGGGAGGCCATAACGGTGTCATGTGGGCCTGCACACAGCAGGCAATCTCCCAGCACCTTCGCGGTCATTGTCAAACACTAGGACAGTGACCGCTGGGTGGCCGCGCATGACCCAGATTTTGCCGCGAAGTGCATGTGATATTGTTCTCTGACAAGGATGGTGGCCTTGCGCAGAGCAGACAACATGAGGGCACCTCCGCCGTCCCGATCAAACAATACTATGAAGTGGTCGCGGGGTTCACAAGCATGACCCAAGATTTTACCCCACAGTGGGCTTTCGTTTTTTGTACAGGGAGGGATGGTGTTGGCAGGGGGAGGGAGTGTTTATTAAGAGGGAACAGTGATGAACCCTCCCCGAATGGAGGAAGGGGGGTTGGAAGAGGAAACGCTTTAAACCACTCACTCTCAGGGGGCTGGTGGGATTACTCCCCCCCACCTCCCCCCCTCCGCTTTGGGCTACCTTACGGAATGAGGCTATGAATAACGCGAGTGGCATGCACTGTCTGCCTGGTAAATGGTCCCTCCACTCTCTCCTCTAAAAGGAGTCTGTCCGCCCCGCAAGTGAGTTCTATTACATCTCCATCATGCCAAGAGTCTGAGTGAGAGCATTCGGCCCACCACATCGAACATGCCCAGATCTGGGAGCGCAATGGGGCAGCAACGTGCGTTTTGAAAGAGCCATGCCAAGATTGCGGCGATACGTGTGTTTTTCTCTGTGAGGGGGGGGGCTTTTCAGATGAAGTAGGGTGGAGGACGCGGTGGCGCGATTCGTCGGGGGAGCGGCGACGGAAGGGCTGGAGGGGGTTGGGCTTCTCAGCGCGATGGGTGGTGGAGCGAAGTATTGTCCGTCCTGGGAGATCTGTTGCTTCGGGGTGCGGGTGCTGCGACCTCCTCCACAATCAGCATATTTACGGTCTGCGCCTCCATTTGTGCACAGACAGGCGGCGGTCAATCCCAGCGCTAGGACGGGGTTTTCGTGCGTACGCGTCGTACGCACGTACATCGATTACATTACCCTCGACGTGTGGCACGCCCTCAGCCCCTTAGTGGTTGTCGGGATCTTGAAACGCTAGGCTGGACGGGAGCCGTCACAGCGGCCTTGAAGTCGGGTGAAATATCCTCCTCCCTCTCCTCCTCATCGCGTCACGCCTCACTCTTCTTCTCTTGTTCTCTCTTCCCCCTCCAACCCCTCCCACCCATTCCTTCTCCCTCCTCTCTCTCGCCTCTCGCTCCCCCCTTGCCCTCCCCCCTTCTTGCGAAGCAGTCTGCAAAACCTCTTGGGGCCCTCTGGGACCCTGTTGGGGCCCTCGAGGGCTGGAGGGGAGCCCAGGGGGGGGCCCTCGAGGCTCTTAGGGCGACCTTGGAGACCTCTTTGTATTACAGTGGGCGCCCATGGTCCAGACATCCGACAGGATGAATGCTTCAGTGCGCGACCCCTGAGATCCCGACTCTTTCCCTGGGGATAGCTTTTCGCGTCAGATCTGTGTTCGATGGTCCGGTGGCCCGGTGACGGGCCCCAGGGGCCGAAACCGAAGAACGTCGTTGGGATTTGATCGACCGTCTCGTCTGTGGTCCGGGAAGGCCGCGAGTGCGGGACACTTGAAATCTCGCCTGGGAGCCGAAACATTTTGAACGGGTCGGACGGGACTAGGACGAGGGTAAATCTGCTTCAGAGCGTTCTGGCACGCTCTCAGAGCGTTCCAGGACGCTCTGAGAAGGCCGCGGCGCCCGAGAGAGATTCTCGGCTTATCTCCAGGCCTCCTAGATGGGGTCGGAGCAGATGGGGTCGGAGGATCGCGCCGCATCGCCGCTGTATCGCTGATGCGGCTCGATGTGGGGCCCGATATGCTTCACGTCGACGTCGCCGATTCATCGCCGACGCCGACTATGCATCGCCAGTGCATCACCGATGCATCGCCGATGCATCGCCGATGCGGCGCGATCCTGCGACCCCATGTGCTCGGACCTCATCTAAGAGGCCTCTATGTATATCAAGAGATGAAAAACTACCTGGACCCGACAACTGGCGTTTACTGAACGGCCCTGGGCGCTTCCTGACCAGCCCTGCCCTGTTTGATTCCTTCTTCGGGCGCGTCGACTAAACGGCTTCGCGCGTCGGGGTGGTTATTCTCGGGGCTGATTTTCTGCCCTCTATGTATCCTCACCCGACGAACAAAAAAAAACAAAAAAAAGTATCCTCACCCGATGTTGTTGCCCTCGCCCTGGCTTCGTCCTCTTGGGGCGCGGGCGTGGGGCCCGGGCGCAGCGATGACCCCCGGCAGGCTCCCACGGCGGCGCCGGCCCCCGTGCCCGCAGATGCGGCGGCTGACGGCGAGCCGCCGCCGCCGCCGCCGCCGCCGACGACGACGACGACGGCGACGGCGACGGCGACGGCGACGGCGACGGCGACGGCGACGGCGACGGCGACGACGGCCTCCGAGGCGGCGGCGGCCACTGCAGTCACGACGACGCCGGGGGCCACCTCTCAGAGGGGGAAGAGGTGCCGATACCGCTGCTCATCCCCTGGAGCGCTTTCGTCGCCACGGCTGGTTTCGCCTGGAAGCCTTGGTCAGAGCGCAATCTGGGAGTTGTCCAGGGTGTGGCGGTAGCTATGCTTCATGGATCCCCGAAGCCAGCGGCGGCGGCCACGGCGACAAGGACGTCGGCGGTTGCGGCGGCGTGCGCTGGCGTTGGCGGTTGCCTCGGCGACGACGGCGGCACTGGAAACGGCGACGGCGCTGGCGGCGTTGGCGCTGGTGGCGACGGCGTCGACGACGACGGTACCGACGGCAGCGGCGGAGGCGGTGGTGGCGCCAAAATGAGCGCGCTGGGCGCGTGCGAGTGCTGGCATGTGGGCCTTCGGTTGGGCTCCCTATGGGGCCACGGTTCATGCCACAGACACTACGACTTCAACGAAACTACGTCGTTACACCGGATTACAACAGAGGAGTGGGAACAATTGGAACATCAACATGTGAGGTACGCATATCCTGAGCAAGCCTCCGACGCGCGCTGCCTCTCATGCGAGGCCATGGCCTCACCCGCCTCGCCCTTAAGGGGCCCGGGGGCATGCCCGCACAGGCGATCCGATCCGATCCGATCCCTATGGGGCCACGAAGCGTGATGGTCGTGGTGGGATGGCGTGCGTATCCCATCCGCTGATTGATATGGCCTTGGCTTTGCCTTGGCTGCAACGGAAGGGCGCGAACTGCGCGCACTGGGCTAGTTGCATTTTCGTTTTCAACATACACGCACAAACATGTGTGTTCACATGCCCGCACGCACGGAGATTCTCTGCCGCATGTTCCCCGGCATTGCGTTTTTTCTCATCGTACCCCTTCCCGTGGGTCAGTTGTTGCAGCGCGGGAGGGCCTTTTTTCCATCAGTCGGGAAGTTGGTTCTTTTGACGTCGAGCTGTACTGGTCAGGAGGGTAAGAAGCACACAGACACTGAATCGTCGAGTCTCAGGAAAAGATGGGAACATATGGGAGTTGGGGGGAAAGACGAACACCCAGAACATATGGGACAATTGGGGGCATCCTGGGGGTTATGTTTATTTACTTGTGTGTCCCTGGGCCCCTTTTTTGCCCCCAGCCGCCCGCCAGGCGCGGTGGAGAGCCTCAGCGGGGCGGAGCCGTCCAAGAGGAAGGCCACCTCGACTAGCGGAGACATGCGAGCGACGACCACGACCGCCGCCTCCACGGACTTCGGAAGAGTGAAACCCAGACCCCCTCGCGTCGTGAAGAAAATCACGGCGGAAGGTTTTTCGCTATTTTCGGCCCCCGGGGGCTCCTCCCGGGCCTTGGGGCCTGTCAACAAACGATTCAGAATGAAGAACCAGTCCCTGAGTGGATCGAGACCTTTGGGGGTCGACGTCATGCAAAAAAACATGACGTCGGGGGTCAGGAAGCCATGACATTCGAAGAAGACAAAGCGCCATAAACATAAGCTTGCTCCCCGCGGATTTCTTGGATCTGCGCTGGCCCCCCCGGGCGGCGCCGCTGGCGCCGCCCCTGGCGCGCTCCGCGCGCGTCAGGGCGCGCTGAGCGCTAGAAAATTTATGCTTACAGCGTTTGTTCTTCTACTAGGTATATCCACAGAAGGCACTCGTGCGAACCACCGTCCCTGCCTGGCCAGGGACATGCCGGGCCCTACGATGGTGCGTAGACCTTCCTGGCCTCGGCCAGCATGCGTATGCACCACGCCAGGGCACAGGATAGCCCTGGCCAGGCACGTTGGCGATATGTCGATTCATTCTGCACGTGTGATCCGTGCGGTCCTGGGTTCGGATGAGGCTTGCGACCGCCTTGGGCCACAAAGGGGCATCCTGCGCCGGTGGCCTCTTGTTCCCTCGAGGGCGGTGTGCACTCGGGACGGGTGCGAAATGCAGTCTGGATTCCCTTCGGAACATCCTGCACTCGGGAAGCCCACGCCATTCGGAGGAGCAGAACGAGGACATGATCTGCGGCGCGGCCGGGGGGGAGGGAAGCGAGAAGGATACGGCCCTCTTAGGAGGTTCGGAAGTCCTCCTGCCTTCCGAGAAGCTCCCCAGGCCTTCCCCGAAGACACCGAAAGCCTCTCAGAGGGCCGGAGGCCTTCTGAGAAGCCCCGCCGCCTTTTGAGAAGGCCCTTCTCCTTCCGGAGGTTGCTTTTCCTCCTGCCCTGACGCGTCGATGGAGGAACTGGCCGTTTTCGGCCCGCGAGAGGGCGTCGCGGCCGTCACTCCTGCGGGTCCAGGTCCGTCGGGTTCGGCCCCGGGCCGTTCTCACTGAGGGGAGGTTTACTGAAAGGGAGGTCTGTCCACCGCCGCTCCTCCGCCATTCCCACTCCCCGGTCGCTCGCCGCCGACTTCTGCGAAACCACCCTCTGGCGACACACGGCGAGGCACCATAGGCCCGGCATGGGCAGGCTCACAACAATTCTGCGGAAGCGCGGCGCCCTCGCAGGAACCGAAGCAGGGCAGTTCGGCAATCACCCCGGCAAGGTGGGTGTCACCCCCTGGACATTTCGCTACAGTAAGGATGGGGCAACTTTCCAAGGCTACCCTTGCATCCTTGCCCCTTCGGTATTCGGCATCCTCCGGCGTTCTGCTGCGCTCCGCACGGAAAACGCAAACATGGCGTTCCAAGGCCTTCGCAGCTTTACCGCGCATCCTTACTATCCTGGTCGAGCGTAATCGACTTGGCAAGAGTAGGCTAGCTTTAAGTCGGGCACGTCCGTCAACAGGAGGAAGATTCTAGAAGAGTCAAAAAGTAGTCAGGGGACGACTTTTCGACTGTTTTCGACAGTTTTTGAGTACTTGGGGGATTTGTTTTTTTTGTTTCGTCCCAAATGCGCCTGCAGGGGACACGCCCGACCTAAGGCTAGCTATAACCTCCGAACCTTGGGACCACGGGCACCTCTGGCGACACCCATGCTCGGGGCCCTCAGACCGCTCGCCGCCGACGCGAGCACAGATCGGGTTGACCCACAAGGGGGTCCAGCGACAAGGGGGTGGTGCAAAAGATTTGGTGCAAAAGATTTTGAGAAGGCGAAAACCCACCCCCACCCCCAGTCCCGACCCCATTTCCGAACCCTCGATCCAGGGGGTCGGGACTGGGGGTGGGGGTGGGTTTTCGGGGTCCAGGAATAGGGAAAACCCACCCCCACCCCCAGTCCCGACCCCCCAGATCGCGGGCTCGGGGGTGGGCGTCGGGACTGGGGGTGGGGGTGGGTTTTCGCCTTATCAAGATTTGTGGGGTTGCAATACATTTGGGGCGTGCGACACATTCCAGGGCGCAAATGTATTGCTGGATTTTCGCGTGCCATGCAGTACTTGCAATGCAATGCCACACAACTCTCCGGCGCAATGCAGTTGCAGTACACTTACCCCAAATCTATTGCACCGGCCCTTTTCAGCTGGACCCCCTTTAGGGGCACCAAAAGCAGAGGGGGAAACGATCGATGAGCCGACAGTCAAGGGAGGAGAAACCACCCGGACCAGACAATCGGCGTTTAGTAAACGGCTCTGGGCGTTTACTAAACAGCCCTGCCCTTTTTGATTCCTTCTTTGGGTGCGTTTACTAAACTGCTTCGCGTGCCGGAGTGGTTATTGTCGGGGTGGATTTTTTTGCCCTCTAGACTCAAGTCGGGCCCGTCCGGCCCGTCCCTCTACAGGGGGGATATTCAAAAATAGTCCAACAGTAGTCGGGGGACTATTTTCTGAGTATTTCTGGGCATCTGTTGACAATTTTTGGAGTATTGTTGATTTTTCGTCCAGAGTCCCCCTGTAGGGGGACACGCCCGACTTAACTCTAGACAGGGGAGGGCGCACAGCAGCTGCTGCCGGGGCGGCGCCGCGCGCGGAGATCTCTCGCGCCTGGTGCGCCGGCACCCCTGCTGGCGCTCGGCTGGGCGCAGGGAGTCGAGCAGTGGCGGAGCGTCCTGGCGTGCCTATAGGCCTACCAAGCTCAGGAGGGGAAAACACACACAGACACGGAACATATAGGAAGGGGGGGTGGGGAGACAAAAGCCTAGGAAATATGGCAACATATGGGAAACCCTTCTATTCTGTGTGTATTTATTTGTGTGTCCCAGGGCCCCTTCACAAACAGTGTTCTAAGAGCCGTTTCTGTGATTTCCGCGACGTGTTCTCCGAGCATTTCTGGCTGGGATTGTCTCGTTTTGGTGCATGGGGCTCATGTTCTAAGAACCTTGTTGTTGCTCTTCGAACATTTTGGGCTTCTAAGAAACTGTCGTGGTAGGCCTACAGGACTTCCAGGACGGCCGGTCCCTGCCCCAGGGAGGGGGCGTCGTGCCAAGTTGCGAGGCCCCGGGCATGGCAGCCGCAGTTGGTGCCCCCGACGGTGGGGATCATCTCGCCATGGGGGGGAGCGGGTTCCGAGGGAAGCGGGCCCCGAGTTTAGCTGGTGCTGTTGTTGCTGTTGTTGGTATTGGTATTGGTGTTGGTGTTGGTGTTGGTGTTGGTGTTGTTGTTGTTGTTGTTGTTGTTGTTGTTGTTGTTGTTGTTGTTGTTGTTGTTGCTGTTATTGTTGCTGTTGTTGTTGTTCTTGTTGTTGTTGTTGTTGTTGTTGTTGCTGCTGCTGTTGTTGTTGTTGTTGTTGTTGCTGCTGCTGTTGTTGCTGCTGCTGTTGTTGTTGTTGTTGGAAAAGGCGTGCGTGGGAGCCACAGCCCCCCCCCCCCCCAATAAGCAACCGAGCAACCGATCAACCCTCTCTGGGGGTCTCCTGGAGGCGCCACGGATTCCCTAATAGGATTCCCTAGGAAGCCTATAGGCTTCCATAGGAATTCTATAGACCTCCCCAGGAATTCTATAGGCCCCCATCGGAATTCCATAGGCCTCCATAGGAATTGTACAGGCCCTCATGGGAATTCTATAGGCCTCCATAGGAATTCGATGCGCCTCCATAGGAATTCTATAGGTCTCCATAGGAATTCTATATCAGCCCCCATAGAAATTTTATCGGCCTCCATAGGGATTTTATCGGCCTCCATAGGAATTCTATAGGCATCCGTAGGAATTCTATAACCCCCGTCGTTGTCGTCGTCGTCGCCGTCGTCGTAGTCGTCGTCGTCGTCGCCGCCGTCGTCGTTGTCGTCGTCGTCGTCGGTTTCGTCGCCCCGCCACCGCGCGCCACCTGGCGTGCCCGCCCGGTGGGAGGGGCAGGGAGATAGAGGGACATTGGCGGGGCGGAGGACGAGGCCGCCGACGACGACAATGACAATGATAATGATGGTGATGATGACGACGATGATGATGAGGATGCGGATGAGGATGCTGATGATGATGATGATGATGATGATGATGATGATGATGATGATGATGATGATGATGGGGATGACGATGAGGATGGTGGTGATGAGGATGACGTGGATGAGGATGATGATGACGATGATGATGACGACGACGACGACTACGATGATGATGGTGATGATGACGACGACGATGATGATGATGATGATCAAGATGATGGGGATGGTGATGATGAGGACGACGTGGATGAGGATGATGACGATGATGATGATGATGATGATGATGACGATGATGATGATGATGATGATGATGATCATGATGATGATGATGATGATGAGTAAGACGAGGTGGACGATGATGCTGATGATGAGTAAGACGAGGTGGACGATGAGTAAGACGAGGTTGATGATGATGATGATGATGATGATGATGATGATGAGTAAGACGAGGTACAGTCTGTATCGGATCTGTATAGGATCCCATACAGTCTGTAAAGGATCTCTACAGGATCCTATACAGTCTGTATCGGATCTCTACAGGATCCTATACAGTCTGTATCGGATCTCTACAGGATACCATATAGTCTGTATCGGATATGTATAGGATCCCATACAGTCTGTATCGGATCTCTACAGGATCCCATACAGTCTGTATCGGATCTCTACAGGATCCATACAGTCTAGATCGGATCTATATAGGATCCTAGACAGACAGTATCGGATCTCTACAGGATCCCATGCAGTCTAGATCTGATCTATATAGGATCCTATACAGACTGTATCGGATACCTACAGGATCCCGTACAGTCTGTGTGGGATCTGTACAGGCTCCTATACAGTCTGTATCGAATCTCCACAGGATCCCATACAGTCTGTATCGGATCTGTATAGTGTCCTATACAGTTTGTATCGGATCTCTACAGGATCCCATACAGTCTGTATCGGATCTGTATTGAAGCGGCGACACGCCGGCACGCATACGTTTTTCACCCATAGGACCACGTCAAGGTCCGTAAGGGAGTCCAAGGGAGTTCCAGTTTTTTTTGGGGGGGGGGGTGCTGGTTGCTGTTGCTGTTGCTGGGGGGGGGGTCAGAATGCGTCCACGGGGCTCTGAGCGCAGCCTTCGCAATAAGGCGAGGGCGGGTCCGGACGGCTAGAGCTCACGGGGCTCCCACGCACGCCTTTTCCTTCTTGTTGTTGTTGTGGTTGTGGTTGTGGTTGTGGTTGTGGTTGTGGTTGTGGTTGTGGTTGTGGTTGTGGTTGTGGTTGTTGTTGTTGTTGTTGTTGTTGTTGTTGTTGTTGTTGTTGTTGTTGTTGTTGTTGTTATTGTTGTCGTGTCGTCGTCGTCGTCGTCGCCGTCGTCGTCATCGTGTTGTTGTTGTTGTTGTTGTTGTTGTTGTTGTTGTTGTTGTTGTTGTTGTTGTTGTTTTTGCCTTGTTGACGAAACCACTAGCTGGCGGACCGCCCCCTCCCCCCCCCCCCCCCCCGCGCAACGCAGCGCAACGCAACGCAACGCTCTCCCCGCGCGCCCCCCCGCGGGGCGTACAGGGACCCGTACAGGGTTCTATAGGGCTCCCACAGGACCCCTACAGGGTTCCATAGGATTCCTATAGGACCCCTACACGGTTCCATAGGATTCCTATAGGACCCGTACAGGGTTCCATTGGACTTTTGTAGGAGCCGCACAGGGTTGGATCGGACCCCCATAGGACCCCTACAGGGTTCCATCGGATTCCCATAGGACCCGTGTAGGGTTCCATTGGACTCCTATAGGACCCCTACAGGGTTCCATGGGACTCCCATAGGACCCCTACAGGGTTTCATAGGACTCCCATACGACCCAGACAGGGTTCCTGAAGACTCCCATGGAACCCCGACAGGGTTCCATAGGACTCCCATAGGACCCCTACAGGGCTTCATAGGACTCCCATAGGACCCCTACAGGGATCCATCGGGTTCCCATAGGACCCGGACAGGGTTCCATCGGGTTCCCATAGGACCCGGACAGGGTTCCATGGGACCCCCATAGGACCCGTACAGGGTTCCATCGGACTCCCATACGACCCCTACAGGGTTCCATCGGATTCTCATAGGTACCCGTCGGGTTCCATCGGACCCCATAGGACCCCAGGGTTCCATCGGACTCCTATAGGACCCCTACAGGGTTCCATGGGAGGCCCATAGGACCCCTACAGGGTTTCATAGGACTCCCATACGACCCAGACAGGGTTCCTGACGGGAGGGGCCCCTCGTCGCCACGGCTGGACGCAGCCTGAAAAATGGGGTCGTTTGGACCCCCTGAGTTTCTGGATTCTGATGGTTCCTGAGGGTTCCTCAGGGTTCTTCTTGGATTCTGATGGTTCCTGAGGGTTCCTAAGGCTTCCTTGGATGCCTAAGGCTTCCGTGAAATGCGTTGTCTGAGGTCTGTAATGGATAGTTGCAATATTCAATTCAGAGGATTCGAATGGACCGGAGGGCATGCCACTCAGCAGTTGTGGCGCGGTGACGGATACTATCGCGATTGGCCGACGATGTTTCCGCACGGTTACAGGGCACAGTAAGGATGACAAGGTTTCCAAGGATACCCTTGCAGCCTTGCCTCTTCGATCCATCCTTAGCAGTTATCGATGGCCGTGCACCGCTCACAAAAGCGACAACTTCGGCGCCCAAGGGGCTTGCATCCTTACCGCGCAGCAGTACCGCTCTTAACGAAGCTGCGCGATTGCCATCACAACCATCATCCTCACCGTAGCTGTGGGCTCGAGTAGCGTTTTCGGACTACAACACCCAGAACGAGTCCACATTAGACCTCGGGCTGTGCTTGCGGGGAGGTATGCCGCGCGTTCCCGCCGACGCGCCCCAGCTTCCGCCAGAACAGCCAGACACGGCTGCCCCAGCCGACGAATCAGACCTCAGCGATGCTTTCAAGAAGCAGCTTGCTGGGATCCTGGTGTGCTTGGTGTGTGGGCCAGGGGATCGCTTCCCTTCGGGGCGGACCCACAAAAGCAGGTCCAAGCATGCAATGCGCGAGATGAGTCCCGAAGAGCGCGAGGAGGAGATCCGCTGGTACCGGGAAATCCAGGCGGATGGCGACGCGGCGCGGCTGGCCCAGCTCACCAAGAGAAGGACCGCAGTACAACGGGGGCTGTGGATTCGGAGTCGCCCTCGGCCTCGGCCTCGGCGTCGGCGCCGTCGCCCTCGCCGTCGCCGCCGTCGTCGTCGTCGTCGTCGTCGCCGTCGTCGTCGTCACCTTCGGCGCCGCCGCCGCCGCCGTCGTCGTCGTCGTCGTCGTCGTCGGCGTCGGCATCGGCGTCGTCACCTCTTGTGTTCCCGTCAGGAAGGCGTCTCGGGAGGCCCGCGCCGCAGCTGCCGCGCCTGCGGCGTCAGGCTCAGCCGGGATCGAGGGCGCCGAGGGCGCCAGCGACCCAGAGCCCGCCAGCGCTCAGGTGGGCCAGGGCCGGGGGTTCGACTACGTCTTGGGTTTCGGCAAGCACGGGCGCAAGACCCTCCAGACTGTTTGGACGGACCATCCGGACTACCTGGCCTACATCGTGAACACGAAAGGCCTCTTGGATGCCAGGCCCACGCTGAAACAAGCTATGGAAGAGGCCGGCGTCCTGGGGCCCGCCACTGACCTCGCGCTCGCCATGCGAGGCCCTGCCGCTCAGAAGGTGCTGCAGAGAGCGGACGAGAGGAGAGCGGCCGCCGAGCAAGCAGCGGCGGAGGGGTTGCCCCCGCCCCAGGTGCACCGTGAGATCGCGCACCTCCACGCCCTCCAGGAGGCCGAGGCGCGCGCCACCCTGGCCGTCGTGGAGGCCTCCCCGCCGCCGCCGCCGCCTGCGCTTCCTGCTTTGCGCAACAGGAAAGGCAAGAAGCCGCGGCAGGGACGTGGGTCCCAGGGTAAGAGGAAATTGCAGCATTGCTGGGCCTGTGGCAGCGTCGACCACCGCACTACGACGTGCACGGCGCGCCCAGAGGCTGTCAGGTTGCAGGCCCGCGAGAGGGAGTTGGTGGCCAGGGCGCGAGAGCACGCTGGGAAGAAGGGCAAGATCGTGACACACTTGAAGTACGTCAGCCTGAAACAGCGCAGCGTTGCCTACGAGGGGCGCCCCGCGCAGCGCAGCATGGTGCAGCCCGCGCGCACCGTCAAGGCGCTGCTCCGCATGAACCCCAGAGATTTCACGATGGCCTGCATCGAGGACGGCCTCCTGCCCCAGATGCAGGGGGCGCCGTGCGCTATGCCGGGATGCATCGCGAGAGACGAGAAGAACGAGGTCCTTCTGCTGGGTTCCCATGCCGCCCTTCCCCCCCCCCTCGCGGCCTCCGTGGCCTTCCTTGTCGTCGTCGTCCTCGTACTCCTCTCCCCCTCCTCCTCCTCCTCCTCCTCCTCCTCCCCCTCCTCCTCCTCCTCCTCCTCCTCCTCCTCCTCCTCCTCCTCCTCCTCCTCCTGGACCCTCGCCCTTCTCTTCTCTCTCCCGCGCGCTGCGGCGAGGGGCGCGGCTGTTCGCGCGGGGGGAGGGGAAGGGCTCGGCATGGGAACGGAGCACCACCCAGTGCGTCCTCGGGAGCCTGCACGCCAGGAAGAACGCGGGCGCCAGCGACGTGACGGTGCACACAGTGTGGTATCCAGTGCCGCTGCCGCGCGATTCTGCCTCCTCCTCCTCCATCTCCTCCTCCTCGTCCTTGTCCTCCTCCTCCTCCTCCTCCTCCCTCCTCCTACTCCTCCTACTCCTCCTCCTCCTCCTCCTCCCTCCTCTCCTCCTCCTCCTCCTCCTCCTCCTCCTCTCTCCTCTTCCTCCTCCTCCTCCTCCTCCTCCTCCTCCTCCTCCTCCTCCTCCTCCTCCTCCTCCTCCTCCTCCTTCCTCCTCCTCCTCCTCCTCCTCCTCCTCCTGCCCCTGGACTCCTCCTCCGAAAGGCCGAACACGCATGGACTTGGTTACGAATCTGAAAGCATCTTGGGCTCGATGCGTCGGGTGGCTTACTTCTTGCCTCTCGAGGAGCGAAAGGGCCCGATACACGCGTGCCGCTGCAGTCGCGGCGGCGGATCGTTGCAAGCAGTGCATGACGAGGTACAGCGTGGCGTCAGGGTCGTTGATATTCCACCGCTTGGGAGGGGGGTCCACCAGCCTCACGGACCAAGTCGTTGCGTTCTGGAACTGCGTGGAAGACATGCCCGTCACGGCTACTTGCAAGCAGCTGGGGCTATCGGAGCAGGTGGTCGGAGCCTTCTACAAGAAGGCCCGCGCCATCATGGCGGCGGACGCCGAACGCCGCCAACAGACCATCATCTTCGGGCAGCTCCCCGGCGGCGAGACCAGCGATTTCGAGGCCGACGAGTCGTGCTTCTTCTCCTGGAGCCAGATGGAGGGCGAGGAGAAAGTGTACAAGTTCTGGGTGTGGCTCGGCATCTACCAGAGGGGGGCCCCAGAGAAGCTCTGGCTGCGCGAGGTCGGCATCACGGAAAGCCGCGGGGAGGGGCGGCTGCCGCCGCTCACGGACGAGTTCTGGGCCCGCGCGTGCAAGGACGTGTTCAACGAGAGGAGCAACATGGTCCAGATGACAGACTCCGCCAGGGCGTACATGAAGCGCCCGCTCCCCGTGGGCATCGTGGACGCGCGCGCCGTGAATCACTCTAGGAAGCCGGTGCCCGAGTTTTCCCGGTCCGTGGAAGTTATCGGGAACGTCGCGACGGGCTGGAAGCGCCCGGCAGTGGCAAGCACGAACTTGATCGACCCCGCATGGAGGACCCTCAAGGAGGAGATCCCTAGTCGCGGCGCAGTGACGGCCAAGACGGATGCAGGGCGAGCGCATATGCGCCACTACATCAGGACGGCGCAATGGAAGGTCATGATGAGCACCTACGACAGGTGGGGGGCTTTCTGCCAGGCGGCGGCGGCGTTCGAGGACCAGCGGCGCAAGGACAAGGAGTACGTTCCAGACGTGAGCCGCCTTGCGGCCGCCATGAGCATCCGCTGGCAGACCCGGAAGCGGAAGGCCATGGAGGCGGACGCTCTGGCGCGGATGGAGGCGCCGCCCACGCAGCAGGATCCCGTCACGCAGCTGGACCTCCCCGCGCCAATGGCCGCCTGCCCGGCGCCCATGCAGCTGGACCCGCCCGCTGCGCCAGCGGAACTGGACGCGCCCATGGCCGCCTGCCCGGCGCCCACGCAGGTGGACGCGCCCACGCAGGCAGACCCCTGCCTGGCGCCCACGCAGCTGGACCCGCCCGCCGCGCCAACGCCGACGGAGCTGGAGCCAAGCACGCCGCCACCGACGCAGCCGGAGCCAGGCGCGACGACGACGACGACGATGACGACGACGGAGACGACGACAACGACGACGACGACGACGACGGAGACGACGGCGGAGACGACGACGACGACGGAGACGACGGCGGAGACGACGACGACGCAGCTGGAGCCAGGCACGCCACCATCCACGCAGCCTGAGCCAGGCGCGCCGCCCCTCGAGCTGCGCCCGGCCACGGCGCCCGCGCGCTCTGTGATGGACACCCAGAGGCCCGTCGCTGTGGGGCGGAATCCACCAGAGGGTGGGTGGTGGTGCGCGTTGTTGGGAGCGCGCTTGGGCGCGAGGGACAACCCGCCTGCGTGGTACAACAACCCCCGCACGGGCGCCATAGGGCCCAGGGGCACCCAGACGGCGGCCACCTGCGCCATCCACGCGGTGCAGCACCTGATCGCGCAGATCTCGAACGAGGCCGTCGTGACTCGGGAAGCCTTCGAGCGGAAGTGCGTGATGGGCTTCGACGGCGGCGGGAACTACGAGTATGCCGACATGCACACCAACCTGGAGCACTTGGGATGCCGCTGTTCGATGGTGACGCCCGATGAGGTGGAGACGATCACGGCCTCGGACGCGGACGGCAGCTTCAGCGCGCTGTTCCGGCTCGGCGTGCTCGAGGGCACCCGTGTCTTAGGCTTCCTGCTGCATGTGCCAGGCCATTGGGTTTGCATTGTGCCTGGTGCCATGGGGGGCCCCGATGCACAAGCGACGCTGTGCGATTCATTGTTCCCAGACGTCTTTTGGCTGACGGGGCTGGAAGTAGCGGAGCTGCTGGAAGCAATGGCAATCCACTCGTCCCGGCAGAGGGTGCCCCACGGAGCGTGGTCGGCGTATCGCGTGTATTTGCCGTGATTGCCCGCATCAGGAGTTCGGTTGAAAAAAGCTCAGAAGTATCGTCGCAAACACATTGCCAGTGTTTCAAGGTGGTAACCTCTTACCGTGCTCTTTTTTATAGCCCTCGAGTCATTGCGTTTTGGTTGCGTTTTGTCCTACATGCAGACGCGTAATTTAGGATGCCAGTCTTGGCGCATTCCAATAACAGTGATTGCGATGTAACCTCCCTCCTCCTTGTCACCTCTTTCCGCTTGTTCTTCCTACGTCCCGGGCACGACGGATATAAAAGGCCCAACCCGCTTCTCATCCTCTCACCCCTCCCTAGGGTGGCATGTCTACATCAGCGCTGGAGCATTCCTCGACAGTCCTGGGTCATGTTCTCCTCACGTACTTATGGTTGGGTCATGTATTTGTGGTATTCTACAAACAGTGCTTGCGATGTAACCAACCTCCTTCTTGTCACTTCTTTCCGCTTGTTCTTCTTACGTCCTGGGCACGACGGATATAAAAGGCCCAACCCGCTTCTCATCCTCTCACGCCTCCCTAAGCTGGCATGTCTACATCAACCCTGGCGCATTCCTCGAAAGTCCTTGGTCATGTTCTCCTCGCGCGCTTATTGCTGGGTCACGTATTTGTGGCATTCTACAAACAGTGTGCGATGTAACCTCCCTCCTTCTTGTCACCTCTTTCCGCTTGTTCTTCCCACGTCCTGGGCACGACGGATATAAAAGGCCCAACCCGTTCATATTTTCCGCTTTGCTGGCATGTTCACATCGGCCCTGGCGCATTCCTCGACAGTCCCGTGGCGTTCCACGGAGAGCGTTTCCCATGTAACCTCCCTCATCCATTACATTTGTTTCCGTTTTGTCTGCCAACGTCCTGGGCACGACGGATATAAAAGGCCCAACCCGTTCATATGTTCCTCTTTGTTGGCGTGTCTACATCAGCGCTGGAGCATTCCTCGACAGTCCCTGGGTCATGTTTCTCCTCACGCACTTATGGTTGGGTCATGTATTTGTGCATTCTACAAAACAGTGCTTGCGATGTTAAACCTCCCTCCTTCTGTCACTTCTTTTCCGCTTGTTCTTCTACGTCCTGGGCACGACGGATATAAAAGGCCCAACCCGCTTCTCATCTCTCACGCCCCCTAAGCTGGCATGTCTACATCAACCCTGGCGCATTCCTCGACAGTCCTGGGTCATGTTTCTCCTCGCGCGCTTATTGTTGGGCCACGTATTTGGGGCATTCGCAAACAGTGTGCGAGTAACCTCCATCCTTCTTGTCACCTATTTCCCTTCCTCTTCCCACGTCTGGGCACGACGGATATAAAAGGCCCAACCCGTTCATATTTTCCGCTTTGCTGGCATGTTCACATCGGCCCTGGCGCATTCCTCGACAGTCCCGTGGCGTTCCACGGAGAGCGTTTCCCATGTAACCTCCCTCATCCATTACATTTGTTTCCGTTTTGTCTGCCAACGTCCTGGGCACGACGGATATAAAAGGCCCAACCCGTTCATATGTTCCTCTTTGTTGGCGTGTCTACATCAGCGCTGGAGCATTCCTCGACAGTCCTGGGTCATGTTCTCCTCACGCACTTATGGTTGGGTCATGTATTTGTGGCATTCTACAAACAGTGCTTGCGATGTAACCTACCTCCTCCTTGTCACTTCTTTCCGCTTGTTCTTCCTACGTCCTGGGCACGACGGATATAAAAAGCCCAACCCGCTTCTCATCCCCTCACGCCTCCCTAAGCTGGCATGTCTACATCAACCCTGGCGCATTCCTCGACAGTCCTGGTCATGTTCTCCTCGCGCGCTTATTGTTGGCTCACGTATTTGCGGCATTCTACAAACAGCGTGCGATGTAACCTCCCTCCTTCTTGTCACCTATTTCCGCTTGTTCTTCCCACGTCCTGGGCACGACGGATATAAAAGGCCCAACCCGTTCATATTTTCCGCTTTGCTGGCATGTTCACATCGGCCCTGGCGCATTCCTCGACAGTCATGTGGCGTTCCACGGAGAGCGTTTCCCATGTAACCTCCCTCATCCATTACATTTGTTTCCGTTTTGTCTGCCAACGTCCTGGGCACGACGGATATAAAAGGCCCAACCCGTTCATATGTTCCTCTTTGTTGGCGTGTCTACATCAGCGCTGGAGCATTCCTCGACAGTCCTGGGTCATGTTCCCCTCGCGCACTTATTATCGGGTCATGTATTTGTGGCATTCTACAAACAGTGCTTGCGATGTAACCTACCTCCTCCTTGTCACTTCTTTCCGCTTGTTCTTCCTACGTCCTGGGCACGACGGATATAAAAGGCCCAACCCGCTTCTCATCCCCTCACGCCTCCCTAAGCTGGCATGTCTACATCAACCCTGGCGCATTCCTCGACAGTCCTGGGTCATGTGTTGTTGGCTCACGTATTTGCGGCATTCTACAAACAGCGTGCGATGTAACCTCCCTCCTTCTTGTCACCTATTTCCGCTTGTTCTTCCCACGTCCTGGGCACGACGGATATAAAAGGCCCAACCCGTTCATATTTTCCGCTTTGCTGGCATGTTCACATCGGCCCTGGCGCATTCCTCGACAGTCATGTGGCGTTCCACGGAGAGCGTTTCCCATGTAACCTCCCTCATCCATTACATTTGTTTCCGTTTTGTCTGCCAACGTCCTGGGCACGACGGATATAAAAGGCCCAACCCGTTCATATGTTCCTCTTTGTTGGCGTGTCTACATCAGCGCTGGAGCATTCCTCGACAGTCCTGGGTCATGTTCCCCTCGCGCACTTATTATCGGGTCACGTGTTTGTGGCATTCTACAAACAGTGCTTGCGATGTAACCGCACTCCTTCTTGTCACCTCTTTCTGCTTGTTCTTCCTACGTCCTGGGCACGACGGATATAAAAGGCCCAACCCGCTTCTCATCCTCTCACGCCTCCCTAAGCTGGCATGTGTACATCAGCCCTGGCGCATTCCTCGACAGTACTGGGTCATGTTCTCCTCACGCACTTATTGTTGGGTCACGCGTTTCTGGCATTCTACAAACAATGCTTTCGATGTAACCTCCCTCCTTCTTGTCACCTCTTTCCGCTTGTTCTTCCTACGTCCTGGGCACGACGGATATAAAAGGCCCAACCCGCTTCTCATCCTCTCACGCCTCCCTAAGGTGGCATGTCTACATCAACCCTGGAGGAGGAGGAGGAGGAGGAGGAGGAGGAAGAGGAGGAGGGGGAAGGGGAGGGGGGAGGAGGAGGAGGAGGAGGAGGAGGACGGAAGAGGAGGAGGAGGAGGAGGAGGAGGAGGAGGAGGAGGAGGAGGTAGGGGAGGTGGGAGGGAGGGGGCTGGAGGTCGGGAGGGAGGAGGAGGGGGGGGAGGGGGAGGGAAACGGGGAGGAGGTGGGGCGGAGTTGGAGGAGTGAGGAGGAGGGAGGAGGAGGAGGAGGAGGAGGAGGAGGAGGGCGAGGAGGAGGAGGAGGAGGAGGAGGAGGAGGAGGAGGAGGAGGAGGAGGAGGGGGAGGAGGAGGAGGAGGGGGATGGGGGGAAGGGGGAAGGGGAGGAGGACGAGGAGGATGTAGAGGAGGAGGAGGAGGAGGAGGAGGACGAGCCTCTAGAGGCCTCGGGCCCCGCCTCTCACGGCGCCTCCCCCCAGAACCTCCAGAGCGCCCCATCGGGAACCCAAGCGAGAACAATCCGTCTAGGATCCGTAAGGGATCCCATACAGTCCGTATAGGATCTGTATGGGATCCCATACAGTCCGTATAGGATCCGTAGGGGATCCCATACAGTCCGTATAGGATCCGTAGGGGATCCCATACAGTCCGTCTAGGATCCGTAAGGGATCCCATACAGTCCGTATAGGATCCGTATGGGATCCCATACAGTTCGTATAGGATCCGTAGGGGAACCCATACAGTCCGTATAGGATCCGTATGGGATCCCGTACAGTCCGTATAGACGCCGTATGGGATCCTATACAGTCTGGATAGGATCCGTAGGGGATCCCATACAGTCCGTCTAGGATCCGTATGGGATCCCATACAGTCCGTATAGGATCCGTATGGGATCCCATACAGTCCGTATAGACGCCGTATGGGATCCTATACAGTCTGGATAGGATCCGTAGGGGATCCCATACAGTCCGTCTAGGATCCGTAAGGGATCCCATACAGTCCGTCTAGGATCCGTAAGGGATCCCATACAGTCCGTATAGGATCCGTAGGGGATCCCATACAGTCCGTATAGGATCCGTAGGGGATCCCATACAGTCTATATAGGATCCGTAGGGGATCCCATACAATCCGTATAGGATCCGTATGGGATCCCATACAGTCCGTATAGGATCCGTATGCGATGCCATACAGTCCGTATAGGATCCGTATGCGATGCCATACAGTCCGTATAGGATCCGTATGGGATCCCATACAGTCCGTATAGGATCCGTATGGGATCCTATACAGTCTGTATAGGATCCGTATGGGATCCCATACAGTCCGTATAGGATCCGTATGCGGTCCCATACAGTCCTTATGGGATCCGTATGGGATCCCATACAGTCCGTATAGGATCCGTATGGGATCCCATACAGTCCGTAGAGGATCCGTAGGGGATCCCATACAGTCTGTATAGGATCCGTATGGGACCCCATACAGTCCGTATAGGATCCGTATGGGACCCCATACAGTCTGTATAGGATCCGTAGGGGATCCCATACAGTCTGTATAGGATCCGTAGGGGATCCCATACAGTCTGTATAGGATCCGTATGGGATCCTATACAGTCTGTATAGGATCCGTATGGGACCCCATACAGTCCGTATAGGATAGGTATGGGACCCCATACAGTCTGTATAGGATCCGTAGGGGATCCCATACAGTCTGTATAGGATCCGTATGGGATCCTATACAGTCTGTATAGGATCCGTATGGGATCCCATACAGTCTGTATAGGATCTGTATGGGATCCTATACAGTCTGGATAGGATCCGTAGGGGATCCCATACAATCCTTATAGGATCCGTAAGGGATCCCATACAGTCCTTATGGGATCCGTATGAGACCCCGTACAGTCCGCATAGCATCCGTAAGGGGATCCCATACAGTCCGTATCGGATCGGTAGGGGATCCCATGCAGTCCGTATAGGATCCGTATGCGATCCCATACAGTCCGTATAGGATCCGTATGGGATCCCATACAGTCCGTATAGGATCCGTATGGGATCCCATACAGTCCGTATAGGATCCGTATGGGATCCCATACAGGCCGTATAGGATCCGTATGGGATCCCATACAGTCCGTATAGGATCCGTATGGGATCCCATACAGTCCGTATAGGATCCGTATGGGATCCCATACAGTCCGTATAGGATCCGTATGGGATCCCATACAGTCCGTATAGGATCCGTAGGGGATCCCATACAGTCCGTATAGGATCCGTATGGGATCCCATACAGTCCGTATAGGATCCGTATGGGATCCCATACAGGCCGTATAGGATCCGTATGGGATCCCATACAGTCCGTATAGGATCCGTATGGGATCCCATACAGTCCGTCTAGGATCCGTAGGGGATCCCATACAGTCTGTATAGGATCCGTATGGGATCCCATACAGTCCGTATAGGATCCGTATGGGATCCTATACAGTCCGTATAGGATCCGGAGGGGATCCCATACAGTGGGAGCTCCCGTAGGGTCACACACCCCCCACCTGCCCGCGCAACGGAACACAACGCAACAGAGGCTGCTCATACAGCCGTGTTGCGTTGCGTTGCGTTGCGTTGCGGGGGGGGGGGGGGGGGGGGGTCCTGGTACACCAGTGGGTTGTTTCGCTACATGGAGCAAAACAGCGAACTGGTGGACCGGCTCCGGGTACACCAGCAGGTTGTTTTGCCTTGTTGTTGTTGTTGTTGTTGTTGTTGTTCCCTACATGTTTCGTGGGGCTCTGGTTTTCTTCCTTGCCGCGCCGCGCCCGCGACACCCCCACACACGCACCCCACTCTTCCTCTCCTCCTCACAGCACTGCTCAGCACATCTCAGCGGATCTCAGCTCAGCTCAGCTCAGCTCGTTGTTGTTGTCGATGTTGTTGCTGTTGTTGTTGTTGTTGTTGTTGTTGTTGTTGTTGTTGTTGTTGTTGTTGTTGTTGTTGTTGATGCTATTGTTGTTCTTGTTATTGTTGTTGGTGCTGTTGCTGTTGATGTTGCTGTTGCCGTTGCTGCTGGCGCCCCTTCTCCTCGTTCTCCTCGGGACTGGGGCTTTGGTGCTCGTGCGTGCGAGGCGGTTCCTCGCTCCTGCGACGTTTGCGTGGGGCTTTGGAGGGTAGGGGGAGGTTTTCTGCTTTCGGCGGCGCGCCCAGGGGGGAAGGCAGAGGCGGGCCTTGTCAGAAGACTCAGAAGGCCTCCGGCCTCCGGAGAAGCTCCCCAGGCTTTCTCCGAAGACGCAGTCTTGTAAGGAGTCTGAAGGGCTTCCGGGAGGCCCCGCCGCCTTGTCGGAGAGAAGGCTTCCGGCGGAGGTTTTTTTTGGGCAGTGAAAGTGAGAGGAGGGAATTTGGAGGAAGGAACTTGGGAGCTTTCTCCGCCTCTTCCTCCTCCTCTTCCTCCTCCTCTTCCTCCTCCTCCTTTAGGGGCTCAGCGTCGTAGCCTCGCACTTCCCCCCTGGCGCGCCGCCGATGCTTGCCACGCGCGGCTCCGGTCGTGTCGCCTGTCAGCCGGGGGCCGCCGCTCAGGCAGCCGTCTCGCCTCGAGCCCCCGCCGACCAGGTGGCCAGCGTGCGGTGCGAGCCACCTGCGCTCGTGGGATCGACGGTGCAAAGCTGCTTTCCCCCAGTTCCACCTTGCCTGTGCCCCCCCCCTCCCCGGCCTGTCCAGCTTCCCAGGCCCCAGGAACTTCACGTTTCCCCAACGTGGGCGCCCAGAGGTCTGGGCCCCTTCCTGGGAGCCAGGTTTTCGTCGTCCGTCGTCGTCCGTCGTCGCCGTCGCCGTCGCCGTCGCCGTCGCCGTCGCCGTCGCCTTCGCCGTCGCCGTCGTCGTCGTCGTCGTCGTCGTCGTCGTCGTCGTCGTCGTCGTCGTCGTCGTCGTCGTTGTCGTCTTTGTCTTTGTCTTTTTGTTTGTTGACGTCATTGCCGTCGCCGTCGCCGTCGCTGTCGCCGTCCCTGCCGTCGTCGCCGTCGTCGTCGTCGTCGCTGTCGCCGTCGTCGTCGTCGTCGTCGTCGTCGTCGTCGTCGTCGTCGTCGTCGTCGTCGTCGTCGTCGTCGTCGTCGTCGTCCTCGTCGTCGTCGTTTCGTCGCCGTCGTCGTCGTCCGTCGTGGCCGTCCGCTCGTCGTCGTCGTCGCTGCGCCCGCGCCGTTTCGCCCCTCGTCGGTCGTCGATCGTCGTCGTCGTCGTCGTCGTCGTCGTCGCCGCCGTCGTCGTCGTCGTCGTCGTCGTCGTCGTCGTGTCGTCGTCGTCGTTCGTCGTCGTCGTCGTCTTTCGTCGTCGTCGTCGTGGTCGTCGGCGAGTTCGCACGTCGTCGTCGTCGTCGTCGCCGTCGTCGTCGTCGTCGTCGTCGTCGTCGCCGTCTTCGTCGTTGTCGCCGCCGTCGCCGTTGCCGTCCCTGCCGCCGTCGCCGTCGCCGTCGTCGCCGTCGTCGCCCTCGTCGCCCTTGTCGTTGTCGTCGCCGTCGTCGCCGTCGCTCGTCGCCGTCGCCGTCGTCGTCGTCGTCGTCGTCGTCGTCGTCGTCGTCGTCTTCGTCGCCGTTGCCGTCGCCGTCGCCGTCGCCGTCGTTGTCGTCTTTGTCGTCTTTGTGGTCGTCGTCGTCTTTCTCGTCTTTGTCTTTGTCGTCGTCGTCGACGCCGTCGCCGTCGCCGTCGCCTTCGCACGGCGTCGCCGTCGTCGCCGCTGCCGCCGTCGTCGTCGTCGTCGTTGTTGTTGTCGTCGTCATCGCAGTCGCCGTCGCTGTCGCCGTCGTCGTCGTCGTCGTCGTCGTCGTCGTCGTCGTTTTCGCCGTCGTTCTCTCCGTCGCCGTCGCCGTCGCCGTCGCCGTCGTCGTCGCCGTCGTTTTCGTCGTTGTCGTCGCCGTCGCCGTCGCCGTCGCCGTCGTTTTTCTCGTCGCCGTCGCCGTCGTCGTCGTCGTCGTCGCCGTTTTCGTCGCCATCGTCGTCGTCTCCGTTGTTGTCGTTGTCGTCGTCGTCGTCGTCGTCGTCGTCGTCGCCGTCGCCGTCGCCATCGCCGTCGTCGTCGCCGTCGCCATCGCGGAGACCATCGCGTGTCGCGTCGTGCGTCGTCGTCGTCGGTCGTCGTCGCGTCGTCGTCGTGGTGCCGCCGTCGTCGTCGCCGTCGCCGTGCGCCGTCGGCCGTTGCGCCGTCGTCCGTCGCCGTCGCCGTCGCCGTCGTTCGTGGTACGTCGTCGTCGTCGTCGTCGTCGTCGTCGTCGTCGCGCGCCGCCGCCGCGCCGCCGCCGCCGCCATCCGCCGGTATGTGTCGCACAGTTGCCGTTGCGGTGCCCCCTGTCGCGTCGCAATCGTCACCGTCGTCGTCGTCGGTCGTCGTCGTCGTCGTCTTCGTCGTCGTCGTCGCCGTCCCTGTCGTCGTCGCGTCGTCGTTGTGGCGGCGTCGTCGTCGTCGCCGTCGTTCGGTGCGTCGCTATAGCTTTGTCGTCGCCGTCGCCGTCGCGTTGCCGCGCCGTCGACGTCTTTGTCGTCTTTGTCGTTCTTTGTCGGTAGCCGTCGTCGTCGCCGTCGCCGTTTCGCCGTAGTCGTCATCTTTGTCGTCGCCGTCGACCGCCCGTCGCCTCGCCGTCGCCGTTGCCGTCGTCGTCGTCGTTCGTCGTCTGTCGTCGTCGTCGTCGTCGTCGTCGTCGTCGTCGCCGTCGCCGTTGCCGTCGGTCCGTAGTCCGTAGTCAATTTGTCGTTCGCCGTCGCAGCCGTCCGCCGTCGTCGTAGTCGTCGTCGTCGTCGTCGTCGTCCGTCGTCGTCGTCGTCGTCGTCGCCCGTCGCCGTCGCCGTCGCCGTCCGCCGTCGCCCCCGCGCGTCGCGCACGTCGTCTTTGTCGTCTTCGTGTCGTATCGTCGTCGTCGTCGTCGTTGTTGTTGTCGTCGTCGCCGTCGCCGTCGCCGTCGCCGTCGCCGTCGCCGTCGCCGTTGCCGTCGCCGTCGGCGTCGCCGTCGCCGTCGCCGTCGTCGTCGTTCCCGTCGTCGTCTTTGTCGTTGTCGTCGCCGTCGCCGTCGCTGTCGCCGTCGTCGTCGTCGCCGACGCCATCGTTTTTATCGTCGCCGTCGTTCTCGTCGCCGCCGTCGTTAGTCATCGTCGTCGCGGTCTCGTCGTCGTACGCCGCCGTCGTCGTCGCGACGGACGTCGACCGTCGCCGTCCGCCGTCGTCTTAAGCTCGTCATCGCCGTCACGCCGTCGTCGTCGTCGTCGCCGATCGTCGTCGTCGTCGTCGTCGTCGCCGCGTCGTCGTCGTCGTCGTCGTCGTCGTCGTTGTCGTCTTTGGCGTTGTCGTCGCCGTGCCGTCGCCGTCGTCGTCGTCGTCGTCACCGTCGTCGTCGTCGTCGTCGCCGCCGTCGCCGTCGCCGTCGGCGTCGTCGCCGCCGTTGTCGCCGTCGTCGTCGCCGTCGTCGTCGCCGACGCCATCGTTTTATCGTCACCGTCGTTCTCGTCGTCGTCGCCGTCGCCATCGCCGTCGTCGTCGCCGTCACCGTCGTCGTGGCCGTCGTCGTCGTCGTCGCCGTCGTCGTCGGCGCCATTGTTGTCGCCGTCGTCGTCGTCCCCGTCGTCGTCGTCTTCGTCGTCGTCGTCGGTCGTCGTCGTCCGTGCCGTCGCCGGCGCCATCGCCGTCGCCGTAACCGTCGCCGTCGCCGTCGCCGTCGTCGCCGTCGTCGTCGTCGTCGTCGTCGTCGTCGTTGGCGTCGGAGTCGTCGCCGTCGTCGTCGTCCCCGTCGTCGTCGTCTTCGTCGTCGTCGTCGTCGTCGTCGTCGTTGCCACCGTCGTCGTCGTCGTCGCTGTCGTCGTCGTCGCCGTCGACGTCGCCGTCGCCGTCGTCGTCGCCGTGTTTGTCGTCTTTGTTGTCGTTGCCGTTTTTTTCGTCGCCGTCGGCGTCGTCGTCGTCCTCGTCTTCGCCGTCGGCGTCGTCGTCGTCGTCGTCGCCGTCGTCGTCGTCATCTCCGTCGGCGTCGCCGTCGCCGTCGC